ATAACTTTTGAAGGAACGCGATTGCGCACGAACGCTCTTAGGCTTTTTCATACCTCCATGTGGCCTATCGATCGGCATATGAACGAACAAAATCGGAAAGTATCACCTGGGAATGTTCCCTCGTGAGCTTGTCATTGAGCTGATCGCTTGCGTGCTTGTGTCTTTGGTTTCTGAAAGAAACATGCGATTTATGCAAGTTTCAACGGTTTTGTGGTCAAATGTCGTGTTTGAAAATTGGAAAGATTTCTGAGGTTGGTTGTAGGTGCTGGGTCTCCAGATACCAGCTGCAAAACCACAGTTATAAAACATTGAAGTGATGTATTTCGATTAGTGTATTTGATTGACTGGTGCGCCAATCAAAGCCTTGTCATTTGTGCAAGGTTCAACAGGCTTAGTAGAAAACCAGCCATTTTGAAGACATTTTGTCCTTAGCCTAGCAAAGGGCGAATCGATGGAGAAAAATGAGCTAAAAGTTCAATAGCTAGAAAAGGTAACTACATTTATTGACAGATCTATGAATCTTTAAATTTTTCCATGTTTCCGTAGGAAAAGGTAGAAAAACCGTGATACCTTTTGAACACAGCACGATGCACCGAAATCCGTTTAGGGTTTTTAGTGTTAGGACACCACTAAAAGTACTAGTCCGACTTCCACAAATCCATAGATCAGTACTCATGCTTGGATATTGTTGAGTACCCATTTAACTTTTTACAAAATACTCGTGAGTATTGTTCATCTGATATTTTCATATGGAGGAGTGATCTCAGGCAACCATAGTCGGACTACAAGTCTAGTCATTGACGAGTCCATGCCTGGCTATATACAGAGAGACCATTGAGGAAATAATAATATAATTATTCTATGTTTCTTCACTAAATTCTACGTTCTTTATACAGTTCCCGTTTAGCAGAATAAAACGGTGAATGAATAGTCTCCCTCTTCCATTTATTATAAATTGTCAAACCCATTCACCCTCAGATTCATATTCAGGCTCAAGCTCACGAAATTTGCGGCAATTTATTTTAACCAAACGTAAGACACAAGAGCAAAACGTCATTAAAAGGACTTCGTGAGTACTGAAAAAGTACCACGACAAAGCAGTGCCCTTTGCGCTGATATGAAGAGAAACTCTAGAATTCACAGAGTATATAATTCAGAACTAGCAACACGACTGAACGACGTGTCAGTACCACCAGCCACAAGAACTTTGCCAGAACTGAGCAGCGCTGCAGTATGAGATTGCCGCGCTGTTGTCATGTTTCCAGTAGAGTTCCACTGCCCCGTTGATGGATCATATAATTCAGAACTAGCAATAGAGTTGGTCGACGTGTCAGAGCCACCAGCCACAAGAACTTTGCCAGAACTGAGCAGCGTTGCAGTATGAAATCGCCGCGCTGTTGCCATGTTTCCAGTAGAGTTCCACTGCCCCGTTGATGGATCATATAATTCAGAACTAGCAGTAGGATTGCCCGACGTGTCAGAGCCACCAGCCACAAGAACTTTGCCAGAACTGAGCGGCGTTGCAATATGCGATTTCCGCGCTGTTGTCATGTTTCCAGTAGAGTTCCACTGCCCCGTAGATGGATCATATAATTCGGAACTAGCAATAGATTGTTGGGAAGTGTCAGACCCAGCGGCCACAAGAACTTTGCCAGAACTGAGCAGCGTTGCAATATGCGATTTCCGCGCTGTTGCCATGTTTCCAGTAGAGTTCCACTGCCCCGTTGATGGATCATATAATTCGGAACTAGCAATAGATTGTTGGGAAGTGTCAGACCCACCGGCCACAAGAACTTTGCCAGAACTGAGCGGTGTTGCAATATGCGAGTTCCGCGCTGTTGCCATGTTTCCAGTAGAGTTCCACTGCCCCGTTGATGGATCATATAATTCGGAACTAGCAATAGAGTTGGACGACGTGCTACCACCACCAGCCACAAGAACTTTGCCAGAACTGAGCAGCGTTGCAGTATGAGATTGCCGCGCTGTTGCCAAGTTTCCAGTAGAGTTCCACTGCCCCGTTGATGGATCATATAATTCGGAACTAGCAAAAGAGTTGGACGACAAGCCACTACCACCAGCCACAAGAACTTTGCCAGAACTGAGCAGCGTTGCAGTATGAAATCGCCGCACTGTTGTCATGTTTCCAGTTGAGTTCCACTGCCCCGTTGATGGATCATATAATTCAGAACTAGCAGTAGGATTGTTCGACGGGTCAGACCCACCAGCCACAAGAACTTTGCCAGAACTGAGCAGCGTTGCGGTATGATATATTCGCCCTGTTGTCATGTTTCCAGTAGAGTCCCACTGGGCTTAAGTGCGAAACGGTACAGCATTAGTTACTACTCTAATTGTAGTGATATAAAGGAATCTCAGTTCGAAGTGTTTTTAAGCTATTCAAGGTTTTGTTTGCCAAAGGATGTGTCAGATTTTGGGGATGATCGACACCTCACTTGTAACTTACTTAACATGAAACAGAGCAGTCTTTTTTTGAAAAGTATCTGCTTTCATTCGAAGAGTTGTGGGAACTTTCAGAACGCACTTTGCACTGTACAGTTGTTACATGAAGGCAGGTATTAGAGGAAGCACCTTCGAGATCCTAACACATGATTTCGTTTAAGAAAATTACCGACTGGGACGCTTGTCGTTGGTGTTGAGGTTGTTGATGAGCTTGTCGTTGATTCTAGCGTCGAGCTTGCCGCCGAGGTGACCGTTGAGCTTGTCATTGAGCTTGCAACTGAGTTTGAGATTGAACGTGTCGCTGAGCTTGTCACTGAGGTTGCCACTGAGCTTGTCAGTGAGATTGTCAGCGAGCTCGTTGATAAGCTTAGCACTGAGTTTGCCACCGGGTTCGTGGATAAGCCAGTCACTGAGGTTGCCACTGAGGTTGTCGCTGAGCTGGCTGCTGCGTTTGTGAATAAGCTGGTCACTGAGCTTGCCGCTGACCCTGTCACTGCGGTTGTCACTGAGCTCGTCGCTGTGCTTGGGAATAAGCTAGTCACTGAGCCTTCCACTGCGGCTGCTTCTGACCCTGTCGCTGAGCTTCTCACTGAGGTTGTCGCTGACCGCGCTAGTGAGGTCGTTACTGAGCTTGCTACTGAGTCCGTGAATAAGCTGGTCACTGAACTTGCCACCGGTGCCGCTGAGCTTGCCACCGGGCTCGTGAATAAGCTAGTGAGTGAGCTTGCCACTGACCCTGTCGGTGAGCGGACCACTGGGCTCGTGAATGAGTTAGTCACTGAGTTTCTTTTGTTGAATGAGTAAAGAGTTTAAGATGAACTGAATATCAAGGTATTACTATCTTTTCCAGTACTTCCGAGTTATAGAGCGTAGTGTTAGCAAATCAATGTAGTCTCTTTCATAAGCCAGAATGCTAGACATCCTTGCTCTAATGCATTGTGTTCGAGAATCCGTTTTAACCCTTGAATGGGTGATGAATGTGACAAAGTGACGACAGCGTTATTCTTCCTTTTACCGATACAGAACGTTAGACTCATTTCTAATTTCTCGAGCATGGCTCGAACATGTCGACAGTTTTCGTTACATACTTAAACTATTCAATGACGTTTACTGCTTACGTTTACTCGCTATCTGTCGTACCAATGACGATAGAGGACATTTTATGATAGAAGAGGTTCCCAGAACGATACAGGGTGACAAAGTATATCTTATAAAACGTTCGGCTATTTTCATCGATACTACGTGCCTGGTTTTTCTTAGATATATTATGGAAGACTTTTATAGCAATTACACTATGTTTTAGCCGTGCCAACGCAGACAACTTCGGCGATTGGAGCCGGCGCAACTGTTCCTACTAGCGCTCCTGTCGCTACGAACGCATCTGGTAATCCTGTTACCAGCGCACCAGTCACTACTGGCCCAACTGGCGGCAAGATCTATTATAATAATGCTTCTGATCCACAGACGATATCGACCTCGTAAAAACCCTAAACGGATTTCGCTCCATCGTGCTGTGTTTAAAAGTTATCACGGTTTTTCTACCTTTTTCTACGGAAACATGAAAAAATTTAAAGATTCATAGATCTGTCAATAAAAGTAGTCACAAATGACAAGGTTTTGATTGGCGCACACCTGTCAATCAATAACACTAATCGAAATACATCCCTTCAATGTTTTAAAACTGCGGTATTGAAGCTGATATCTGGAGACCTAGCACCTACAGCGAATCTCAGAAATCTTTTCAATTTTCAAACACGACATTTGACCACAAAACCGTTGAAACATGCCTAAATCACATGTTTCTTTCAGAAACCAAAGAAACAAGCACGCAAGCAATCAGCTCAATGACAAGCTCAGTGACTAACTCATTCACGAGCCCAGTGGTCCGCTCACCGACAGGGTCAGTGGCAAGCTCACTCACTAGCTTATTCACGAGCCCGGTGGCAAGCTCAGCGGCACCGGTGGCA